CAAACAAAAAGGAATTGGCCTCGGCCCCTCTCTTCCTTTTCAAAAAAGATTGAAGCTTCCCGAAAAAAAGGCTTGAACCCGCGGGATTTTGAACGAAGGGTAGGAACGTGATAAAAAAATGTAAAAATTGCGTCTGAAAATTTTATTTGAGTTATCTTTGCTCAATAATATCAAATATATAAAAAATCCGGCTCCAGAAATCAGTACCACACTGACATAAGCCAGTATTCCAGACACTGAAGCCTACGTGAAGCTACCGAAAAGACAAAGACAACTAAAGACAGTATGCTGCTGCGAGGTGAGAAGAGACCAGGTCACCACTCCTTCAGACTGGGGGGTCGACAAACAATGCATGGCAAGGAGGAATGAATGGGGGGCACCGGATGGCAGGAACACACAAAAAAGAAGAAGCTTCCGAGAGGATGAAAGAACAGACATTTACACGCTTCACTACACAGCACACCCTCGTTCCGTCGGGCCCCTTGTCATTTTCAGGAAAATTTTTAAATATGGACGAACAGGATTAGGAATCATTCCATAAGCCTAAGTTAAGCCCTGCTCGTTTGAGTTTGAAAAACCATTAAAGAATTTAAGAAGCCACAGGCAAGTTAGAATCCTTGAGTTGAGCTTATTCCGAATTAGGAATACACCAGGGTTGAAAAGCCGCTTCGCGACTTTTCAACCCTGGCCTCGTCCAACCCTATGATATCCCTCGATTTGCATAACCCTTCGGCACTGATGTCAAAAAATGAAAATCGCATCCTCTCCCCGATTATATAGGCTACTCCCACTTCCGGCGTATGCTAATTTTTTCCTAACAAAGAGGGTGTCCGATTTTCAAGGAAAAACTTAATTTTACTGTTGAAAACAATCGATTTTGTAAAATCTGAGATGCGTGCAGTCATCTACAGGCCATTACGCGTCTAATGACGTATCATACGCCCCCTTTATCCTTTCCCCTCTTGAGATATCCTCCGGACACGCTGACGGAAGTTGCATGCAAAGTGTCATATACACACACAGACACTATTTTTTTTTTATATACCAGGGTTGAAAAGCCGCTACGCGACTTTTCAACCCTGGCCCCGTTTGGGCCCATGATATTCTTCACTTTGCATAATTCGCCCGGGCTGCGATGAAAAAATAATGAAAAACGCTCCCTCTGCCCCTTAATATAGACCACCACCACTTCCGGCGTATGCAAATTGTTTCCTAACAAAGAGGATGCCCGAAAATTTCACAAAAACCTAAATTTAATGTCGAAAATAGCATAATTTGCAAAATCTGATAAGCTTGCAGTCATCCCAGAGCCATTACGCACCTAATGACGTATCATACATACCTAACAATTCATCCCCTATCGAGATATCCTCCGGACACGCTGACGGAAGTTGCATGCAAAGTGTCATACACACACACACACAGACACTATTTTTTTATATATAGTAGGATAGTAGGATAACCTCAAAAGCACTTTTAAAGGAGCCGGGAACTCACAGATGTGGTTCGAATCGCTACGCTAAGCTACGCGTAGATAGCCCACAGTTAAGCCTAAGTATAATCCTTAGCCCAATCCTAAGCCTTAACCTCAGCCTAAGCCTAAGCCTAAGCATAAGCCTAACGAGCCTAATCCTCAGAGAAGCCAATTTCGACCTAAGCCTAAGCTTATACTAAACTGAAGTAAAGAAATAGGTCCTAAAGGCAGAAAACAACAACCAACTACGAAACCCTCCGCAAAATTCCGTAACGGAAGAAGGTGAGCTGGATGGGCTGGATGGGAACGACCAACAGGGGACCAGCGCTCAGGTCGAAAAGGCACGTCGCAAATCAATTTGAATGACGATCCGATATGGGTGGAGAGAGAGAGAGAGAGAGAGAGAGAGAGAGAGAGACCGGGACGACAGCCAACTGGGAGAAGCGATAGGAGGATGCTCGTGCATGCCTCCGGTCTCGTATCTATAACCACAACAAATGAGCCCCACTTTCTGCATAATGCAGATTGGGGAATTGGAAAAACAACCGTGGCGAGCCTGAACTATACGTAGCTTGTTGCGCTGATGTTGAGCAGCTGTATTTGATTATGTTTCAGGTATTCAGGTATTTCAGGAGTATGTAACGACTTTAACTTCAAAGCTTTATTAATTTTCTTGAAAACGATACATATTAAAAGCTTTGTGGCAGTCGGAGGCAACAAACCCAAAATCAAGGAATTTAGCTTTCTGTAATAAAAGTATTAAGCTAGCCGATTTAAAAATGAAACCAGAAACATGCACCCGCTTCAAAAATTCATCGTCGGGAAGGCATCACAAATTTAGTCGGTGTTTTCGAGTGATTTTGCTCTAAGAATAGCTGGAGCGGATGTCGATGGGACAGCTCCAATTTCGGTGATGATCATTGGGGCCAGCTGTGAGGGCACAATCTCCATATCTTCACGGCCAAGTAAGGACACGCGGCCGTGGCTCAGCACCTGAGAGGAGTTTTGATTTCGAGCTCTCACTCTCTCTCTCTCTGTCACTCTCCCGCTCTCGCTCTCTCCCGCTCTCTTTCTCTCTCTCTATCGCTCTCTCTCTCCCTCTCCCTCTCCCTCTCTTCCGTTCACTTTTATGTTCCGGAGTGAACTAACCTTGTCAACAAATTTGAATGTCTGAGAGACAACAGCGACTGGGACACGAGCAGCTTCACAAGCAAGTGCGATCTAAAGACTCCTATGACCATAAATGGGTCCCATACCATCATCGCTCCTTTTGTAATTGCAACGCTGCCATTTGAAAGTACGGCCGAGCATCCAAAAAGAGCCATCGAACACTAAAAAATGTTTTCCTTGAGAAAGCTACAAATTTTGGGCCCCTACCCCTTCCAGAGCTGCGGATATCGCTTGAAGATCACCATATGCTAACCGCACATCCTTCTCTCGCAAAGTGTCGAAATGCCGGATCCCTAGAGGTACAGTCTACACACCTAGTATACGATTTACCCACCTCGTCCATTCACTTCTTGATCGATAACCACAATCTCCCGTAAATGACGACTCTTGCTATCGCAGGCCGCGATCAAGATCTCATTAATGAGTGGACACCTGAGCTTTCCTGTTTAGCCTATCAAATTTTCTTTACCAGTCAAAAACAAGCACTTTCTTAGTGATTTGAAACTTCTCGATCGTAAAGAAAATTATGCGATCAACTGCCTTCCGGAAGAAGTTGTTTTCCGTATCCTCTAGCCAGCTTACGACACAGTCGAACAGCTAAAACCGGGTTATAATGATTACCGTATGCCCACCTCATCGTAAGCCTCCCGGGAAACAAGGTCTCTGGTTTTGTTTTCAGCTTCTTGTTCCTCAATTTTCTTCAGGTACTTTTTAAATAGCCGCAAGATGTTGCCGACAGCGAAAGGGAGGGGCCATCGACCTGAAAAATTCGATCGTATTTATCTGTATGGTCTGCTTAGAAGTACTGCCCGCTTAAAAATCACCATTTTTCGTCAGATAATTTAACTGAGTTCGTAGAGACAGCTCCAATTCTGTTGCCATCATCGACGTACGGCTAATTGTGTAGTTTTCCTCATCAGCGCCCCATTGTTGGACAAACTAAAAGATGCTATTATTTGGTTTTCGTATGTCGCCTACCAATTTCAGCGCAATCAAAAAAGACTTGCACAGCTCATCAATGTGACTGATTTCACCGCGCTCGCATCTAAAAGACTTACATGGTCGTCTCAAATAAAATAACCTGGTAAAAAGTGTAATGAAGGCTGGGTGTATGTAGAGGTTGTCCGGTTCAGTCCATTCCGGTTCGATAACATCGGCAGGCGGTGCTACCGGATCATCCAAACTTAGCGCTATCACCTTCGTGTTGAGGTCTATAACTCGATTTTGTTGTGTTTTGTTGAGGTCCTGATTGACTTACCAAAATGAACTTGTTTGTTGTCGGATACCGGCTTCAGGGCAGAATGCGGTTCCAGGGAAAGGCGCGCAAGGGCGTCAGCTATTCCTTCTAGGTTGATCGGAGCTGCTAAAATCCTTTTTATCGCTTATTTTATGACTGTATTAGCCTAAATCTGCTTCCTTTTTGTAAAACAAACCCTTAACCGGATCCGCTTGATGTTTACTTTGTTTTTCGGCCGGTGGGGGCTTCTCCTTCGGCTGCTTCGGACCAGCAGGCGGTGCTTTCGTATTCTGCTGTTTTGGCCCACCAGCTGGCTTCTCCGGCTTCTCGCCTCCACCTCCAGTTTTCTTGTTTGCTACAAAAATTAAGATCTTCCGAAAAAGCGTGTACCTTTCTCGGCTTTTTTCGCTTTCCTTTCAGCCATAATCTCCTCGCGAGATTTTGTCTGTTGGGCCAGTTGCCCTTTCTCTTTATCGGACTGCTCCATAGAAATTGTGTAATAAAATATCCCTCCTAAAACAGTTTTGTTTTGACAGTTTGAGAGTTTATAAAATTGATGGGAAGTTATTAATGGTTTGCTAGCTAAAGATTTCACAGGTCAATGATATTAGGAAATAACATCTGCCCTGATAAGTTCAGTGAATTTCGAAAGGAGCTAAGAAAACCTTAGGCCATAGATTATATTAATTCCCTCTTTGTCCTAACTCACTCTAGAAAAATGTCAAGTGAGTATCCCTCGCCAGTGCAACAAAATCCAAACCTAGACAATCGATAAAAATACCCGGTCCAATCCTAGTACTTTTTAGAATAATTTCTATATCAACAATCAAATTCTCAAATAAACATAAAAAGGGTTTTTGATGCTAACAAAAATAGAAATTTTTATGCAATCTTGGCTAGAAAAATAATAGTATGAAGAGAAATGCCATAGTTTGGATGCAATTTGAAATGTGTCGTACCACTAAAGAAATGGACAACGTGTGGGAAGAGGGGCAGAGACAGAGGGTTTCTTTCCACCGGCACGTGGTCCTATATGCCCAATACTCAAATCACCCTTCACTTTCGCATTTAGATCGCTATTTTTTCGCTGGTAAATTTGGCACGGTGACAATGAGCAGTATGCGGGTGGGCAGTTCCAGTTCGTTATGTTCTACAACTTCTTCTGAGGTGGGTTAATGAGATTGAACTATCTGAAAATTCCATTTATCAAAAGTTTTCTATTTATCTAAAATTTGCTTTATCTTTATATTCAGGCCAGATAATCCCAAATTTCAGAACGATCTCCGAACATCTATTGGACAAAATGAAGATTCTGTCAAGAAGTTACGGAACTATGGAAAATTCTTTATGACTAGACTAGTACAGGTATGTAGTCAAAGAAATATATGCTTTTACACTATTACTTTACTTACTTTACCAAAAAATATACATCTTTACAGCTTGTCGTGCAATCTCGAACAAATGAAAGATACGATTTGACCTGCAGCGCCACTATTACCGATAATTGGTTCAACATCCGCTTTCAAGAACTAGGAGAAGTGGCGGCTCAGTTGAAACGCTCCCTTGTCAAGTAAGTAAAATAATAAAACATAACCTAAAACACTTCAGCTATCCACCCGACATCACTTCCGTCACACTTGATTTCTTCCTCTTCACAAAAGAAGCCGAAACATTACCCCTGGAATCTTGGTAATTCGAGTGGCGCTCCCTGGAACAAAACGTTTAGGACATTCTCCTTTGATGATGAGAAAAAGGCATTTGAAGAAAATCTACTCTTCTATCATGATCTTTCAACCCTTCTCAGGTAAGCCTTATCCGTTTTCTCACAGCCTATTTTTTTAGATCCTGCGCCTTGGCTTCGAGAATGACTCCCACAAGTCGCTACTATGTTAAAAAGCAGGGCCCTGATACCTTTGTCATTTTATACAGGGTAGGCTGTTTCCATTAAATATTTAAACTAAAAATATTAAGATCGTGGAGGGACCGTCGACGCTGGAATTAGGAAAAGAGTTGAAGTGCCATCGAGTTGGGACAGTGACGACAGTGCACGGCTCATTCAACGTTGATTTGAAATATCGGTTTGGATTTATCTTTTTTGAATACAGTTGAATCTAGAACGCGAATGGAATTAGAGCAGCGCATTTCTCACGATTCACCGGATTCAGAATCTTATCACCAAGTAAGTAAAAAAACCTGTATAATAATACCATTATCTCTACTGCTACACGAGTTTATAATTCTAGGTAAACGCTTCATCCTCACGTCCAGTCTTCGGATCTTCTCCAGATACCCCATCATCGTTCTGCGAAGTTATTTCCCATTTAAGTAGCAGTCCAGCTAGCGTGGTTAGTTGTGCTTCATGATTTCTATTGTGGTTGTGGCAAGCCTAGGATTTGTAGTGCCAATCGATTGTAAAATTAATTCCAACAATTTTAAAATTAACCCTCAAAAATCGATCGGCGCTCCAAACGACCTAGTGACTGTCGTGAATTTAGGCGGCATCCCCGCACCACCTTCTAGCCACCTCACCCCCAATGCATGGCACACCACTTCTCCAGTTTGTCACCGCTAGAGTGAGCTGTTATCCTACGCCGTTAAACCATACCATGTAGTAGTATATATCGTAGTCGTGGTAGTGTTTAGTACCGCACTGGCCATTTTGATTCAGGGTAGGTTCAGGCCAGCCCGGCGCAGGTGCCTACTTACGAAAGAGAGAGAGGTTGAGAGAGTGACAGAGCGAGAGAAAGTGAGAGAGAGCGAGAGATACGTAAATATGCGCCCACGTAGCACTTGCCTGACCTGCGCTTTTAAACCGAACTCACTGTCCTTGGCAAGTAACTTCTCTCCCACCAGCCCAAAAATTCAAAACAACCTTTAGGCAAGAAGTCGAACCCAATCAACACAATCCGGAAACTCGATCAACGCCGAATCACCCCCATCAGAGGCTGGAAGCTCCGAAAAAGAAGCCCCCGTCAGAAAACGAGAACCTTCGGGCGGAATGGTACGCTACAAAATTACAGCTTTACCCCCAATACGCTTTAGACAATCGCAAAGGACATGCCGTTCGCAGGACTACTCAATATGTCGTTCACTGGCGCTCTTTTCCCCCTAAAAACATTAACCGAGGAAGGGACTAAAGAAAAGGAAGCCGAAGAAGCTGCTGAAAAAGAAGCCCAAAATGCACAAGCCGACGCAACTGAAGAAGCGCTGAATGTTAGCCTAGCTAATACGATAGGTAAGCACAACAAAAATAGAGCCTCAACTTTTATGTTTTTTTCAGTCTCTGACCAAGCCAATCGACAAGCATCGGCCGCTGCTTCTATCGTCACATCTACGGTTTGGTTCTCGGAAATAGCGCAAGAAAAGTGTGTCAGATAAAAGACAGCCAAGTCTTCGATGAGGAAAAGGCCGATGATGACTTGGAAACGTCAAAGGATGACGATCCAGAGGATAATAAGGATGATGATGACAGCTTTGTGAAAATACTACCATTCGGCGCCGGTGCTTCGCCATCATCTTGCGTGAGTCTATTAGTAATAACGAGTCAATCTGCTAAATCCAAAATTAACAATGCTTTTAGCCGAATGCCGAGCTCGGTGAACTAATTTCTGCTTGCCGGACAGCGCCTCCGATCGAAGAATTTGAACACTACAAAGAATCTATCGAAAGGATAAAGCTAGAGGTTGTTTAAAAAAACCAAAATAAAAACGGCCGCCTTTTAGTTGGAAGAATTCGAGCAGTCCCAGGGAGTCTTCGACGAATTTGTAAGCAGGATGAAGGAAGAGACCTTTGACTTTTGACACTAGTGTGCTTTCAGCCGATGCTTTTACTGCAGCAGCTTCCCTGTTTGATTGTTGTGATTACCTCCTTCTCTTGCTTTAGTCAGCCGTTCCATGATTCGAATGTACCTACATCCTATGCAGAAATGCATTGATTTGCACATAGACGCGTGAAGAATAAAGCCTTTTTGCTCATACCCGGCCTGAAATAACATGGGCCTGACCCCACGATTATCAAAACCAGCATAATAAATATAGAAACAGTGTCAGTAATTAGTAGACAGATTTTCAGTAATAGATCGTGCTTTCTATAGGTCATAAAACTTTAGCCGTGTCACGCACGATTCCGATACGCCCAGTTTTACTTTTTGCCTTCGACGCGGTTGAGGGATTTTTTGATACAAAAAGCTTATAAGCAACATAAAAAAGAAAAACTGCACAGGGAGAAGTCCGCCAGGTTTTGGCCACGTGGCCGCCATCGGGCCGCCGGGTGGCCGCCACCTGGCCGCCACATGGCGAAAAGATGGCAGAACGGGGGTTCCCGGGCCAGGTAATGCTCCTTCTAATATCGATTATTATTAATGCTAGTGCCGCTACTATGCATTGCAGCCATTTCGAAGCAGCCTGCTTCATGTCGGAGATGCGCTGGAGGTGTTCCTGCCTGAAATATGGCTTTTTTATTTTAATTCATCGTTTTTATATTTAGCTCTACTTTTTCTATGTAAACGGTTCTCGTTTTACTTCATACACATACTTACTTTCATCAGTGACCGATGTCCATTGCGCTGAAAGCATCCGAAGTTGTAGAAACAAAACTAGGATTGTAGATATGGACCTACCGGACATGACTTACTTTTTTCACCGGCGTGCGAGCAGCAAAGTATCAGTCTTTGAGCAGCTCCTTCTGTTGCAGCCAAATAACCTATATATGATTGAACCCTAGGATAGACTTACCCAGGATGCAATGCATTAAAATAACAACTCACGGTTCCATAAAATAGAAACCAAAACTAAAACTTTATCGAAGAAACCAATGGCAATTGCTTACTAACCGCAATGCCATCTTCCGATGCTGTTTCCGTCACAATAATTGTCTTTTTATTTGATCTATCTAAAATAATAATCCTAAAGTAAATACAATACCTGAGAGAACAGACTTTGGTGATTAGTCAACGACGTGGCGTCTATTTTCCATTTAAATAGCTAAAACTCGCAGTAAAAGTAAAGCAGAAATCAATTTACAAGCGTTTATAAAAAAGTTTCATAAAAATTGATAAATTTAGCTTTGATGACAACGAAAACATTGACTGGGGCCCGAAAAAACGCTAAGTCCCCAGAGCAACGCAATAGTACTATCAACAACTGGCGGAAATCGGGCGGAAACCTGGCGGCCACCGCCGCCAGCTTCTGGCCAAAAGCGGTACGACAGTGTACTAAAAACCCCTGGCGAAATTCTGGCGGCCAGGTGGCGAAAACCGGGCGGGCTGGCGGCCATCGGGCGGGAACCTGGCGGCCAGGTCTGGCCCGATGGCCGCCAGGTTTTCGCCAGGTGACATGGCCGCCTTCTGGCGAAAAGCTGGCGAAAAGCTCGCCAAAATCGGGCAGCCTGGCCGCCATCGGGCCAAAATCTGGCGGACTTTTCCCCGTGATGGATAAAATAAAAGATAAAAAGAAATATTTTGCATTTATTTTATCGATCAGATTCTTCCGCAGCGCTACTAACTACACCCTACCGTTGTCTGGAGCATTCGTACAGCTACCCAAAAATTTCGAATTTTTGGTTTTTTGAAAGCCTTTCAAGTTTTTTGTATTATCCTGCATTGCGTGTTTCCTTTTTTTCTGTGTATCTTATGCTCTTTCGTCTTTTTACCCGAAAATACCGTGTTTTAGGTGCGATGCGCATCGCCGCCCTTCCACGGATCTTCGCAAGGCGCGGCGTCTCTCAATTCGCGAGTGTTAGTGAAAAGGTAAAGCTTTAAAGAAAGTTTAAACTTTTCTTTAGGCAAAGTACGTGCCTCGACGCTCGCTCCTCTATGTACCAGCTAGCAATGAAAAGATGACGGCGAAGATACCGATAATCAAGGTATTACTGGTTTTTTAATCTAAACCGGTTTTAGTCAGACTCCGTTGTCATCGAACTCGAAGATGGCGTAGCGTTGACTGCAAAAGCGGCGGCCCGCAAGAATGCAGTTAAATTGCTTGACGAGCTTACAGGTATAAATGCTTTTTTAGTTTGTACAGAGTTTATCCAGGTACGATGATGTCCAATTTCGAACTGGGCCTACGTGTGAACTCTGTCTCAAGTGGGCTCATAGAAGAAGACTTGAAGGTGAATCGATAGACATTGTTGGTAACCTTTTTCCAGGAGCTTGCCAAGGCCTCGCATCTACCAGCTGCTTTCATGATCCCGAAAGTTGATACGCCGGAAGAAGTTGCGACAATTTACGACCTGTTTCGTACGGCATATGGCGCTGACCGAATTACTGATACGGTATAAATATTTTAAAACTTAACATCACTTTTTAGCCAGTTCGTCTCGTTATTTGGATCGAATCGACCCGCGCGCTTTTGGACATGCCAAGAATAGTGTCCTCGATGATCAACCTGCAACGCAATTCCGGTTTCTTCAAGCTGGATGGCGTCGTCTTTGGATCCGATGATTTTTGTGCAGACATTGGTAATTTATTTGTTAAGTTAACGACAGTTTATTGGTTCCGGATCAACAGTAATCGAGGTCGTGGGTTTATACGAGGGTTATGACGCCGCCTCCTCCGTAGATGCCTCCCCTCATATGTGGTTTTCCGGCGCCAATCCTTAAACATTTTTGTCAAATGTTAAAGTAAAGATTAGGAAATCGCTCACTGACCTTTTCGGGAAAGCCCCTGGTTTGTTTGGGTTAATCTTTGACGTACTTGAAAATTATTTTGGCGCCGAAATTAACACTGACACCTCCGCCATGTTCGTGGGCGCCTAATTTTGTATGCATAGGCGTGGGGGAAAATTAATTTGACGGTGGACAGCTTATGCAGGGGTTAGTAGGGAACGGGATTTTCGGGGGCACTAATCCGCACGTACCATAATTGGCCTTGGCTTGAATAGCACGCTTCCTTGAAGAATGAGATATTCCTAGGACATGATGGGATCTGGGTAGATGCTGAATGCGGATGATCTATTGTGCAAGGTTTTAGAATGATGTTGAAAATTGGAGACTCTAATGGGGTTAAAAGATGTGAGGAGAAAACTGGGGCAAGGTGGAAACCTTTTTGCTGGTTTTTGAATATAGACCGGATAGCCAAGGGTTTATGGAGGGCTAACCTTTTCATTTTTCTTGTTTTGGTTTTTTTTTTTGTTTAATGAAAACGTACAAATTCTGGGCGGTAGATTTATACACCCATATTAGGGAGCTCCGGTAAGAGCCTGCGGAAAAAGTCGGGAAACTAATCAGGACGATTTGGAAGGTAAACAAATTAGCCGAGATTTCGTGAGGGAATACACTTTTCAGTTTTTTCTTAACCTGAGCAAAATTTGAAATTTCCAAATTCGAAGCCGATGTTCCGTAACTACCTCCCATCCCCTGATAAATTCGGCTATCGGTAGCGCTTACCATCTATATATTCCCCAAGCCCGCCGACCATCTCCGATTTGTTGTTCATCGTCGTGGAACGGTGCTGTCAACGCGGGCAGGGCAAGAAGGGCTAGTAGAAGTAGCAACACTACAACACGACCAATCATGGCTGCGTGGGGCCCGCTTCGAAGAATGGCGAGTCGGTGTCCCCCCGCTCGACCCCACCCCTTGCTCAAGACCCACCCACTCCTTCCAACCCCATCACGGAATTGCCGCCCCCCCGATGTTTTGTAGCTAGGTTCCTTTTTTGCAAATTCATAGCTCTCTATTGTTTCGGTGGGACCAACAAATTGCTGGTCCTAGGCCGTGAATGGTAATTTTTCACCACCGCAACCCGGCAATCAACGGGTTCGGAGAAACCATCGAATTTTATGCCAAGATTTTTCTTGGTGATATTAAGGTTTTGCGATGCAAAAAACTCTTTCCGAGGGTTTGATATTATCAACAAGTTTCACCTTGCAAAAACGGTTGTACGACAACGGCCTTTTATTGAAGTCTTATTTCTTTGAAGCGGGGCCAAAAATGGACAAAATAGACCTTTTAGAGAAATATTTGCTAGATGGGACTTGTTCAAAATTTGAAACTCCTTAGGATTATTTATGTCACAGCGCAAACCCCATAAATCGTTGTTTACAAATATGTCACAACTCTTTTTTTTTTTCAGGCGCTACCAGAACGGCCGAGGGACTCGAGAACCTCTATGCGCGTCAGAGATTCGTCACTGTCTGCAAAGCCTTTCAATTACAGGTTAATTTAGGCTGAAATCTATATGATGTTTATTGTTTAGGCAATCGACTCTGTGTATATTGACCTGAAGGACGAGGAGGGTCTCAGAAAATCTTGCCTGCAAGGACACGGATGGGGCTTCACTGGAAAACAATGTATCCACCCTTCACAGGTTCGTAAGAATTTTTTCACATAGTTAAAGGGCTGCCGACGGCATATGTCGATCCCCCCCCATCAACAAATTGGCAAGTAGCCAACAGAGCAGGGAGCGCGCCCGGGGGAGAGGCACAGAGACATTTTCTTTCCAGCGCGTAACCGATTGACTATGCCGTCGGCATCCCTTTAAAAAAGCTCTTGGTCTGTATTGACTATTTTGCTCACTTTTCTATCCGGATGCGGGCAGTTTAAGATAGTCGAAGCTCGGTTGTATTGGATCACTTCTTTTCCCTGATCATATTTCATTTTCAGCTAGCAACAGTCCAAGAGTGCTTCCGTCCCTCTCCCGACAAGGTCGAATGGGCAAAAGCGTTGGCCGATGCGTTCTCGATGCATCAACATAGTGGTTTGTAATGTTTCTTACGGTTGAATTACACCTCCGTTTAGGTACCGGCGCTTTCTCGTTCCGCGGCCAAATGATCGACCGCCCGTTGTTGCTGCAAGCGATGAACATTTTGCAAATGGAAGAAAGAATACAGGGTGGAGGATTGTGAATAGTGTGAGATTTCACTTTAGCTTAGATAAATGCTTTATTACCGTTGAAACTGTAAAAATGTGGGCACCCCAACAAAACAAATCGGCTCCTATCGCTGTTAGCTCGTTGAGGATTGCTTGCTTTTGTTGCTCTCACGAGAACTCTTCCGCCTCAGTATGTGGCTGAGCGCCGCCTTTCGCACGTCTAGCGGTTTCCTTCTGACAGGTATTTATTGTTCGCAGCTTCAACTGGCTACTGACCTGCTCGATGGTGAAGAGTCTGTGTTTGACCCGGGTGATAGGGCCAGTGGGTCTTTTTCACCTGAACTTGCCAGGCTTTCCTCGCCTTCTTCGATCACCGAATGTTGTTCAGCAATGAGGGAAAGCCTAAACCCCGTAACCTGCTTGACTTTGAAGCCGAACCTCGACCGAAATTGTACAGATGAGGCGATTTGCGCGGCATGTCCAAGTGCTATTCGGTCTTCCATTTCCTCCAGTTGCTAAAATCTGGGATTGGCCTTTTGGGCACTTAAAATAGCCACCTCAATCTCGTTCAGCGACTGAATGGAAGGTAGGTTTTTCGATGCGGTCAACGGGCGGCTTGTGGAAAAGTTTGTGTCGAAGGACTTTGAAATCACAATCTATATTGGCAATGCTATTTGTTTAGGCCATTTTATACCTGGCTTCCACTGCCGCTAATGTCACTGATAGTGTTGCTCGTCGTGCTGATGCCTGACTCTTCACGAATCAGCTCAGTCAAGATAAGAATGTCGCCTTCCTAAACGCATCCATGTTGAGCGTTTGAAACAAAGGGCGGATACGGCCCGTAATCAAGTATTTCTGACCTCGGTGTCCACCAAACGCATTACATCGTCAATGGACAACGTCCTGGGGAGAAATTTCATCTGAAATTTTCATGAAATACGTGCTTTTCTTAGCGGCCCTACTCCGGCATTCCGAATGCTCCTCGTCACGGCTAAGCTTCCGTTCGTTGATTCCGGAAATGAGAGCACCGTTTGGCAGGTCTAAATCTTCAGTTTTCGAAGAGTTGCATAGTTTACATTACGTATTCGGGAAATTTTTAAGGTGCGAGCGTTTGAGCATATTTATAAAGTACTAGCATCCTTATAAACTATACCTTAAAGTTTTGTACTCTATCGCTTTAGGACATCCAATCGAAAAAGCAATTTTTGCAGTTTAGTCGCATCGTTAGTAATAAATTTATTAATTTTAGGCCTCTAAGCTATTAGTAACCAGACAAAGGACAATTATTTATATTTTTTTTGTACTTTCTAAAACTGTTCGAACTTTATAAGTCTTTTAACGCACAAACCATACAACTCGACTCTTGAATTTTGAAATTTAAAATGGATAACTGCTGCGTGGATGACGTAAACGTTATAAAAATCATACTTGGTCACTATCAGAACGTCATATATGAACCCATCTACTTCACAAATGTTGAATGGCAACCCATAATTCTCATGGGATTTCAGTCACCCACTTTGTTATATCTCCTCTTCGCGGCCAACGCACTTTGCACGGCTTCGCGTGTTATGGAATGGTTAGAGCTGGATGTTCGGAAAACTCCTAAAATAATTTCCAGACTTGAAAATGTACAATATTTTTTACCTAAAGCGCTGCCCCTCCTCTTGACATGCCTCTCATGCCCAACTCGACCAACATCTAGCAGCAGGCCGCCATCACGATCAAAACATGGGTACTCACGTATACGACCCGCTTCATATGTTCGCTCTAGCTTTGCCTGAACGATATAAATAACAATTACGCGCAACACGGAAACGCCGTGGCGAGTTGTTTTCGTCGCCATATTTTGTGATCAGTTATTTATGCAGGGGGGATGCATGGTAATGCGGTTTCCGGGACCCGGCACGAGGCCATTGTCTGCCTAGTGAGGAGAAGCTAGCTTTAGATGCTTTTGTTGGTGATAAAGGATGTGGAACTGACACCTATACTAGGGAGGAAAGGAGGTCATGGACTTGGCGCGTTTTTAGATGACTATCCTCCGGGGTCTTACTAGATATAAAAATAGTTTTTTCCCGATTTTTTTCTTTAGGATTCATATTTATCAATCTAAGCGGTGTTTTTAAACCATTATTACGATTGCTAAATGCAAAAAATTTATTTTTTCATTAAAACCTGCAAAAGATATCGATTTTCCAGTAAAAAAAGGCCAGTTTGATCAAAATATCGAATTTTCAATCTTTACGTTCGTTTGAGACCTTTTGTCTACTAGAAATTTGCTGAAATTTTACTAAAAACTCTATTGAAATACTGGCTATCTCATTACTAGGCATTTCACGATTTATACAAAGAATTCAAACCTGAATCAAGTTGATACACATTGAGACCAATGAAAGCCCGATGATGATGTAAATGAATAGCATCAACAGATACTTCGGCTCGGTTGGCGTAATATCCCCAAGCCCAATTGTACTAAATAACTTAGCCAGTGGCCTTTTCCAACGCATAACACCCACCTCAACGAGATAAAAAAGAAATAAAACGCAACAAAATAATCCCATTCGCTCTCCCAGATGCAAAATGTGGCCTGGGAATCGTTTTGTTGGGGGAGTCGAACTCACCGAGCAAATGAAAATCCAGGCTATAACAACGCTAATGGCAATGGGAACTGGTAGGTCGAAAATTTCGAGGTCTGATATTCGGATATTATAAATTTAGCACGATAGCGTACCTCTTTTGTCGTCATTATCTAGCTTCCTGATCTCTTCCATCGTCTGCTTGGTGCAATATCGGAAAGCTCGTCTGCAGAAGCATTTCACCAACCACCAAGGGGTTTTTAGGCATCTGGTTAGGAGTTTGCCTGGAATTTAATGCCAATGTTTTAGATTAACCGGAATATGTTGGTTATACCCACCCTACACAAAAACTCAGCATTTAAAAAAGCCACTTTTGGGTATAAATAGCTGCTGCTTCATCCCCACTGGGCGGTATTTGCAAAAACAGATATTAAAAAGGCAAAGTAAATTAGCGGTATCAGGGCGGTCGAATCTTGCGTGTTTTCGCCGTAACTGTTTACTTTTACATTATTTTGGACTGGAATTAAAACTATTTATAGTTTTTGGCGCTCATCAAATCAAGTTAAAGTTTTTTGTAGTTTGGCAAACTGTTAGTTTATTGATTACCTATCTATTTCCACTTGCTTTATTTTTCGTTACAAAGCGCGGACCGAGTTGAAAAGTAAACGATTACCGATTAACGTTTTGATACATCAAAGCCCTGTCAAAAATCGTTTTTTTTACACCCTGAGTCTTAGATTTCATTTGAGATCTTCCGTTCTCACCGCGTATTCCCTAGGGGCTATTGAAGCGTTGTCCGTTTCGGGTAGCCCGTCTGACCCGACCCTCATCCGACCACCAAGGCTAGGAGACAAATTACCACCAATGGTTCAACAATCGATAGGAAAGTCAAAAATATTTAACGGAATTTGGTAAAGTGTAAATTATGAGTTAAAATGCGGGATCTGCTGATACCTAGATCGTCAAGAATCGAGAGGACGAGGGGAATCCCGAAAATTGCGTAGACCATCGTAAAAAGTCGGCCTTCGAAGGTCGTAGCATAAAGATGACCATAGCCAATCGTTGTGCAGATTGTCTGAAAGGTAAAAGATACCGTTACTCTTTTCTAGTTTTAAAGTCTATTTTGATCCATCGCAATTTTTTGTTCAACTAGTTTTTATAAATATTTTCTGAACTGACCTGCGCATACAGCATCGCATTCCAAAAGTCCCATTTAATTTTCTGGTCAGTATGCTTGATGCCAAGCTGTTGCTCATAGTCGATCAATTCCAGCGACAGCTTCTCAATCACATCGTCTGTTTGGTTTTGGGTGAGGAAGAACAGATATTCCGAATTGTTGAACAACAGTGGCACAATTCGAGCTACCAGCCGTGTCCGATTGAAGCTAAACCGATTTTCCGAGAAGGTTCAAAGTACCGTACCGGATCTCATCAACCCATTCGTTCTCCTTCCGCTCATCGGCGTCTGCTTCGTAGTAATAAAAAACGGCGGCTCCAAAAAATTGATAGAGCACGAGGATGGCCAATAAGCAGATGTGTTTCAGGCCATAATCATGGTAGACCTGGGGATCTTGTTTTTCACTTCTGATACCTTACCGTTTGTAATATCCGTACCCATCTGGGGACCTTTCGTACGCGATCAAGCCCGTGTCGAGCTTCTTCTCTGATCGAGTTGCTGATTTGTAGCGCCTGAAATTATAATCGGGATGTCCAAGGAATATGAAAACCTGACCCCTTTCCTGAAGGACTGTCTCAATCTATTGATATTGAAGCTCGTGGGAACGTTGGAGGCTCGCCGCATGGCATCTAAAAATTGATAAATTCAGTTTTGCGAAAAATGGGTAAATGTTACTTAACGGGGGGAGGCGGCAAAATAACGAGAGGGGGAACGAATTATGCCGTATGCTTCCTCGTCATCGGTTAAAGCGTCGAAAATGATATTAAGACGTTTAATTCTAGCGCGAGATACCTTTATTTAAATTACTTATAAAATACAGAGGTTGTTGATGAATTAAAATAATTTAATAAAGATTTGCGCAAAAAAATATGAATAACGTTAAAATATAACATTAGTTCCCACTCCCGTTATCCCCCCCTTTAAGCAACCATTACGAAAAAATGCAAGACACCAACGGCCCTGCTAGCCAAAGTTCAGATTTTGAGGTTCGCCGAACTCGGCGGGTTGCCCTCGAAAAGACAATCAGACCCCCAGATCGGCTGCCGTATGCAAATGGAGATTTGGGCCGAGCAAGGGATCGGTTTCGAGGGTCGAGCAATAGCCTCATCCCATCCCAGGGGGACCCATCTCTCATTCTCCCGTTGGCCCTCCCTTTGGGCCACTAGCCTCCGTCCGGTCACACCTTATCTTCTCGGTCTGTCGCTTCAACCCCTCACCGGCCACGGAGAAGAGGTCGCCAGGAACGAATTTTGTCGGTGAAAATGTGACTGGGTTTGTGGCTATGGTGGTTATATGAAGGGAGCGTCTGGATGATTTGTGGACTGTACTCAGGGCCGTAATAAACCCAAATTTCGGGGGGGGGGCGACCCCAAAAATTTTTCACCAATATGACTAAAACTACAGCGCCGCAGGGAAAATTTTTGAAAACATAGGGTTTATAACACCAAAACTAGTGTTAAAAATAGCCAAAAACAGCGCCGCAGGCAAAAAATTTTTTGGAAAAATTAAATCATATGGGTCCCCCCTTATGAACTTTTCGGCCTTCGGCCGATTTCGGGGGGCGGCTCGCCCCCTCGCCCCCCTCTTACGGGCCTGACTGTACTTTTAAGGGTCTAGAAATACGGATAGATGGTCGTTTCAGAGGAAAGCATTAAGAAATGGTGGGATCAACGCTTCTTTACAATAAAACTAGCCGAATTTCAGATTTTCAGGGTTTCAAAACGTTTCATAGATTTTTTATTGTTTACTGTACTCTTAATAACTTTCGAAGGGTATTTACAAAATACAGAAAATCTCTAAAAAAATCGGGGAAAAGCGACTCCCTTCCGATGAGAACATTTTCGACTAGATTTGGCATAATAAAGCTTTTAATTTGCATTTTTTGAGGTCTAAGTGAATTATTGTAATATATTTTTAACGCTTTATCAAGTAGCACTTGCGAAATGACACAAAAATTTAAAATATACTATGCGAGATTACACAAAAATCTGAAACATCTTAGCGCCTAAAAGTTGAATTTTAGGCTGCCATTCTCCTTGTAGTATATTTTTAAAACGCTCTATCGAATGGCCCTTGCGAAATCACACAAAAAATTACAATACTAGGGCTGTTTTTGTTCCCCGGTTATTTCAGGTGTACCCAAATAATACTGCACTTTCGGCAAACACCTCCTCACCCTTTCAAATATGACTAATCCCGGAAGCCAACGGCTTTTATCGCACTAACTGTCGACGACCCGAAAACATCTGTTCATAAATTGGCCCCCGAGGCGCCATCCAATCGATGACTCACTGTTTATTCTTCCCCCTCAATCGAACGCCACTTTTTCGCTACTCGTCAGCCACAATTCGCCCGGAAAGATGGCACTGTTTCGGGGTTTTCAGGCAATATTACTCTATCTAACTGCAAGATGTCTCGCTTCTCCGGCTCTACCAGAGGAGAGCATGACTACGGTAGATTAATTAGATCTAAATTAATCAAATTATGCTTAATTTTTAGCCCCAAATCATTAGCTACCACGGATATCCAGCTGAAATTATTACGGCTACAACAGATGACGGCTACATTCTTGAATTACATCGAATTCCGTTCGGTAAAAATGGTAGGCTATACTCGAAAATCACCTTAACTTTTTGTACAGCAACTGATCGGACGCGAGATCCAACCCGTCCAGTCGCTTTCCTACAACATGGTCTTCTCGCTTCAAGCGCAGATTTTGTGGCAAATCTCCCGGAACAGTCGCTAGGTAATTCTTGCATTATTTTGTAATTTTAACGGACTTTCAGCCTTACCATTTTTCACAATTTCAGGTTTTATGCTTGCCGATGCAGGCTTCGACGTCTGGTTAGGAAATTCTCGTGGCAATTTCTACTCGCGACGCCATATATCATTTTCATCGGATTCCCCGCAATTCTGGAATTTCACGTAATGTCTGTTTGAGCTTATGGCAAACCGAGCCCAGATGGGACGAAATCGCTTCGCACGATCTGACCGCCCAAATCAATCGCGTTTTGGAGGTAGACGAGGAGATTTCTTGGCGAAAAAGGCGGATTAAGGTGACCGGGGCTTCGAGTGTAAATTACGTTGGCCACTCCCAAGGGACGATGATCATGTTCGCAAGGTTATCTGAGGACCCGGGTTTCCGGAAGAAGGTTTGTAATTTAAAACCCACAAGCATCGATTTTATTTAAGATTGACAAATTTTTTGCCTTAGCGCCAGTGACAACGGTTGGCAACATTCGAGGTCTACTCCGGATTATTTCCGATCATTTTCAACCAGAATTAAGGGTATTATTTAGTTCAAGTGTTTTTATTTGAGTTGTTTTTAGTGGCTAATCCAACTACGTGGCGAGCATCAATTTATGCCCACGAATTGGTGGTCCCGAATGACGGCCAAGATCATTTGCGGCTCGTTCGCCTTTCTCAACCCGTTATGCCAGAATATTTTATTTCAAATTGGAGGTCCGGAAGATAAACAGTTTAACCAGGTGAAAACTACAGTCAACTCCAAAACTGTAACATTTAGAGTCGTATCATGGTCTATATGGATCATACCCCGGCTGGTACGTCTACTTCCAACATCTTACATTGGGCTCAAATGGCCCAATCGGGTCGCACTCAAATGTTCGACTTTGGAACCCCGGAGAAGAATAGATGGAAATACGGCCAAGTTTGTCGAAAATATACAAAGCGAATTTTCACTCTATTTTTAGGAAACTCCACCATACTACGATATTTCCAAGTTTGATGGCGATGTTTATATCTATTATGGAGATGCCGATTGGCTGGCTGATGTCGAAGACGTCGAAGTAAGTTATTTAAGCTAAATAAAAACGATTTTTAGGGCACACTGCTAAAAACACTGCCCAACGCCACGAAGCGGCTCGTTACGAAGCTGCACGGCTTCAACCACTTTGACTTCATCTATGGTCTGAGGGCATCTAGAGAAATCTACGATGATCTTATTCATCATATTACCCCGAAACCACAGCTACGAACGAATCGAATTCATTGAATATTGAAAATAAAGATAACTTCTCTAAAAATCTGTAAAAATAGGCAACGAAATTCAAAATACAGAATCTACAGAATCTAAAATACTCTTCTATCGAGCCTGGGCCATCGAAACCCGCGTGGGTTGGCAAATACAACTAAAAACAGCTCTTCTGATCATTTTTTTGCCACCCAGCATTCGACTACTCTCATTTATGGGAGGACCCTTGAACTTCTATGGGCCCAGCGACACGTCAGATATTTGCCTTGCCCCCAAAAACGCTCAAATTTCCTTGAAGTCGCCGAAGTAGGCTCTGTTCTCTAGAATTTCCCAAACTGCCATTAATCCGAACATGTGGCTTCTTTCATTATTTGCTATACCAGGAGCTATCGTAGCCGAAGATTTGAAACTTCAGAGATATGGAGCTCCAGGTAACAACTACAGAAACTAGGTTGAAAGGTTGTTATAGAAGTCTATGCCTCCTATATGAATTCGGTGGCTGCGCTCTATGATGAGTTATTCACTACGAGAAACTACAAAACACGACTATCACCTGTGTACGAGCGAATGCCGGATAATTATACAGGTTGAAAAAAGCATACCGTAAATATGATTTTTTTTTAGAAAGTCCTGTTCCTCGTTTTAATGTGCATCTATCGCTTGATCATGCAAAGATATTTTCTGTGGTGGGAAAGAGCTGCCGAGTTCTATTCGATTTTTAGGACGTCTCGAGCCAAGTTATAAGCATGTTTATGGCCGTTAATTACGTAACTTTTGGAGAATAAGTCTAAAATAGACTATAGGAATGGCAAGACTGGCGGCTAGCGTGGATCCCAAGCGAATACGGTGGTATCGAGGAAATTTGGACAAACGCTGATGACGTCTGGATTCCGGAGAATATGATTGCAGACGCGTAGGTGATAAGTGGAGCTTATCGTAGCCAAAAATTCAGGAGATCGATCGATCTTGTGTATCCGGAACAGCAACGGTCGGTTAACATCCAAGCTAATGGATCGGTCTTTGTGGCAGTTTCACTTTATATAGAAGCATCATGTCAGCTCAATGTAAAAAACTTGATTTTTCGATTCAAAAGATTCGTTTTTCAGGTCTCTAGATTTCCATTTGATCACCAGGAATGTTTCGTGACATTTCTGCAACATCCTTATAAATAGTAAAATTTTTAAATCATTCATTTAACTAATATCATCATGTTATAAAGATACAAAAAAGCAAGGAGCTCCTTTAGCAAATTCGTCACAAGCACCGGCTCAATTGGAGGAGGTGCCGATCCAGCCTCAACGGTATTTAAAACATACCTTAACTCACTTAGAAAAAAAATTAAGGGAAATGGTGAATGGAACGTACGTAATATAAATGTAGTTACAATGACGGTACCTGGAGGGATGGATCAATTAACCTTGGTAAATTCTAGCCCGAAGCGATACCTCTTGAAATTTTAGTTGGGCTTCGTCTTCCAAATGGATCGAGTTCCAAATTTTTACATCTACGTGGTGGCGATGCCGTGTCTAATCCTAACTCTGTTATCGATTATTGGGATGTTCTGGAGCCCGAATTATTGCGATGAGCAACTTGCAAAAGTAAGAGAGTTAATGAAAGGCTTATAGCAAAGTGTATTTCAGCTAAGCATCGGTTTAACAAGTTTAATCTCGCAAACTGTACTGCTTGATCTAGTATCGTCATCTATTCCTAGAACAGCGTCATTTCCTATTTTGGGTTAGCGACAGCAGCTTTATAAGCCAAACATTTTTTCAGGAATTTACGTAGTTTTCTGCGTGATCTTGACTTCACTCGCTTGCGTGTTTGTGGTCGCATTTACTATCTCACGAGATCCTCCTGAAAAATCTCCAAAATCCAAAGAAGAGAAGAGGTAAGTACTTCTATAAGGATTAAATCGTATTTTAGTGAATCTAACCTCGTCAGCCAAGTTAAGCGGCTGTTCCGGAAAAGACATATCCTTTTCCACCTATTTTTCCAAGGCCTGAATCTTGCTGGTTTTGTCGCTTTCATATCTTTCTGGCGATAAAACATGAATATCGTTATGAATCAATATTACCCATCGAATCAAATAGCAAAACACACGTGCGTACATTTTGAAAGCTTAAGAACTGCCACTACACTCTTTTCCCGATTTCTGCACCCGGCGTAATGAATTTTTCGGATCACGAGATGCCGGAAACCGGGTTGCACCCAATTATTTACCCGCAACCAGGTGCATTGGGAACTTTTAAGAATCTCGGGTTGTTGCAATCAGTTTCTTCAATTTTGCAACAGCCATGAAATTTTATTTGCTTATTTATTTCGGCATTTTTGCGAATTGCGAGTTGGATTTGCGGAAGTACGGGGCGCACGGTAACCAAATGACCTCAAACATCAGACTCAATTTTGTAGAGGAATACGCAACATATATAACAAATCTACAAAAACTCTACAAAGAGCTTTTCACGACGCGGGAGTATGACAGCAAAATGTCGCCAGTTTTTGAGCGGATGCCTGACAATTTTAATTGTTTGTGAATTTACAAAAAAAATTAAAATAAAATAAACTTTTAGCCAGTAGTGTACCTCAATTCAACGTTCATTTATTACTCGATCACGCAAAGATATTTTCCGTGGTGCGTACCGATTAAAAGATAATAATTTAATGAATTAAGGATGCTCAGAGTCAGGTGATCAGTATGTACATGGCTGTAAACTACGTACGTTCAGACTATAATTTAGGGTAGACATTTTAGTACTGGCAAGATCTTCGCCTCGCCTGGACCCCAAGCGAATACGGTGGAATCGAGGAAATTTGGCCAAACGTTGGCTATATTTGGATCCCAGAGAATATGGCGGCCGACGCGTGAGTATTACGCATAAAATCCGTAAGCCGGTTTTCAGACGTAGCCTAGAAATCATCTACCCCGATCAGCAACGCGCTGTTAATATACAAGCGAACGGCTCTATATTCATGTCGCTATCATTTTATATAGAAGCATCGTGTGAATTGGATGTGGGTTCAAACAGGTTTTTAATATTTTTCTAGGTTCAAAAATTTCCATTCGACAACCAGTTATGTTATATTGTGTTTCTCTCACATTCCTATAAATAGTGATAAAATACTTTGAGATTTAACTGAAATTTAGTAAATTTTTAACAATGAGTGGCCAGGTGGGAGAAGGTGCAATCCCGGAGTATACGGTAGGTTATAATTAAAAAAAAAAAGACAAAAAAACTTTCGAAAATCTTTAGGGAAATGGGGAATGGGATGTAACAAATATGAGCGCGGATCAATATACCGTAGTAGGAGGGCTTGATCAACTATCCTTGGTAGGTCGTCGTGGTCGGTCATGTTTTTAACTTAATTGTAATTGTCTTAATAGTAATATTTAAATAGTTGGGCTTCGGTTTTGCGCTGAAACGAGTGCCCCATTTCTACATCTACGTAGTGGCGCTTCCATGCTTGATCCTCACGCTCCTCTCAATTATTGGCATGTTTTGGACCCCGAATTTCCGGGATGAACAGATTGCGAAGGTAATTTTATAGCTATGCTTTTCTTACTTATTTAAAACAATTTAGCTTAGCATCGGCTTGACGAGCTTAATCTCGCAGACGGTATTACTGGATATGGTTTCCTCATCAATACCCAGAACGGCAAGATTTCCTTTGTTAGGTCGGTTGTGGAATCGTGATACATTTTATTACCCTTAATCGGTATCTAAAATGTATAACTTTGATCTAAATATTTTAATTAAGGAATCTACGTGGTATTTTGCGTAATACTGACTTCACTGTCCTGCGTGGTTGTCGTAGCCTTCACCACCGCCCGCGAACCCGACGACCAAAAACGATGGGCCGCCAAAAAACAACAACCGTATAGTTTTAGCACACTCAACTACAAAATACAATTTTTTAGAAGGAGTTGCACGACTCAATTCCGAGACCACTTTGCCGACTACAAACACATTGTCTTCCACCTCCTATTCCAGGGCCTAAACATCATCGGCTTCATCATGTTCCTCACTTTTTGGCAATAAATATAAAAATTGATTTTAATTGACGTTTTATTGGCAAAATTACATAAACACAAATACCCGGCAGAAATGGTGGAAGGGGCAAACTGGAAGTACAGAAACATTGAAATGGGTGAATTAAGTAATTCCCAGGGATGAGAGGGAATGAAGGAAGTATTATGGTCATGGCGAAGATTGTAAATAAAAATTGTGTAATATTAATCATAATATTATCGAAGTTAAATAAGTTTCTTAGTAATACTGATGAAGCGTTGGAAGCCTTGTTTGAGGCGGGTGGCGTGGGCTGTGGCCGTGCCTTTGCTCGGAAGTTTTGGAGGTTTTTTGCCTTCGAGCGCGCAGAGGATTGCTGCGTCGAATACCTAAATTATTATAATTTATTAGCATTAATTTTGAACGTTTAGATAGTTTCAAAAATAATTGAATCTTACTTGTTTTATATTTTGTTGGGTGAGCGCTGAACATTCGGCAAATTCACAGTGCATCCGTTGGGCCAATTCTTTTCCACGGGCGGTGGAGATCTAGAAGTGTCATGATTATTGAATAAAAATGAAATCAATTAAATTATATGAATAAGCAATATTTTATTTGTCAAACTGTTTATATAACTGACCGGATGGCAACCAACTCTTGCTAAGGAAGCGGCAACCGAAGGGTCACCACGGCGATCGACTTGGGTCCCAACGAGGATTACTAAAAAGAAATGATTTTATTTTTCTATTGCTATTGTTAGATACTACTGTATTTATACAATAGGTTATAATTTGAATATCTCAAACCCTAAATTTCCAGCTATTTTACCTGGAACCGTGGGCTGGGACCGGTTAACCTCCGGAAGCCAATAGTCAACAATGGCTTCAAAGGAGTTTGGGTCGACTGTGCTGTAAAGAGGTGCGTAGCGTACAGCAAAAAAAATAATTTTTACCTGTAGACCAGCAAAATGACGTCAACTCCCGGGTAGCAGAGGGGTCGCAAAGCACAGGCTCGCTAAAACTGAAGGGTTTAGGGGTTAGAGAGTTTTAAAGAAACTTTGATATCTTTTTTAATGCTATTACGGTTAGACCTAAGCCCAATCCTAAGCCTAAGCCTGAGCTTAAGTCTAGGTAGCCAGATCCTGAACCTAGACCTAACGCCGTTCAAATTCCACCAAATCCCCCTTCCGATTTCCAGACTTGGCTTTATGGCGGAAGCACAATCCCTGGGGGCCCATGGTCTAATCGGCGAGGGGAAAGTGAGCACGCCAATCCAATCCGGATATCCTTTTTGGCCCTAAACGCTTCGTTCTTTCTTTCTATCGCCTGCGGGGGACTTCGGGGCGCGCGCACGCGATTTGTTTGTTGCCGGCCCGTGTGATGGGGTGTCAAATGTGGCCGGGGTGGGTCCGAAGCATCAGAAGCACCGCCCCGATTCATTTCGGATTTCCGAATCGGATGGCGGTCATTCGGGCTTTGCATCGTGGCATTCCGATGATTTGGTTTGGACACGGAATTTGGGATGCTAATCGTTTTTGAATCCAGAATATTTTTGATCGGCTAACTATATTTATAGAACATGGTTTTTTAGTGCCGTTTTTCTTTCGTTTGTGCTCAGACTGCAAGGGACAGGCGAGGGACGGCTATGGATTTTTGAAGGATTTAACCGAGGCTACATTTCTGTTGTGTAAATTTTGCAGCGCTTCACAGTCGCCACAGCAAAATTCATAGCCATAGCTTGCCCGTCCCTGTAAATATTTACATCTAAAATGTCCTTTCTCCTAACTAATATATTTGATCCACAACTTCAGATGCCCCTGAATATCCTCCTGCTCACAATTTTCGCCGCATTGGCACGGAGCCAAATATCTGAAGGCGTCGACATGATGTTGAACAGCATCGCACCCCTCGAACCCACAACCGACATGGTGCCTATCTCGCGCCCTACTATCGTCTCCGTTCCAATTATCCCCTCTTCTACACCATTATCGTAAGTTTTAACGATACCTTAAAATCAGAAAAAATTGCTTTTCTAGAATTTGTCCAAAAACATAAACATTGCTTAATCGCGATTTTGTCGAGATTTGCATACTACAGTAACCGAAATGCGATGCGCCTCTTCTTCCGTGCCAACCCGCCGGTGCTGAACATGGCGAGGGTGGGCAGCCAACTTCCGATGCCGGTCGGCCAGAAGCGAAAACTGATGGTGCATCCGACCCGCCTTCTACAGCAACACACAAACCTTCAGGCCGAAAACGTCGACATCCAGAAGCGCCTTGGGCCCGTCGCGCGCAACATTGGCAATTTCAGTGAGTTCATCGGGGGTTGGGGGCGGGGGCCGATCCAGCAGAGATTTTTGGGGAAATTTAAATCTGGCAAGCTAGCGAAGGTCCTTGAGGAATGGTCTATGCAACTTTTTAAAATCATAAACTTAGTAGTTAATTTCAAGATAACCTCCGAGACTGTTTTCCATTTTTCACACCTGGCTACACATGAATGTCTTTAATATAATATCAACACTCACCAGGCCAGCTGTGTCGCATAATTGCAATCGTATCGGCTTCCGGTCCACCCGTACAACAACTAAAAATGAGAAATTTGTCTTTTAGACTATAGGCTTTTCAAAGTATCGCCTCAATAGTTATGAAAACACATATTGCTTCTAATTTTGACCCCATTGGTTTTCCGAGAAAAGATCACCCCGGCACCCCCCGAAATTAATGGAATGCAGTGATTTTGGGGTGGGGGATTGAAACCGGAATTGCCGGCTGCGTGTTTAAAAGGAATCCGGATTCGGGATCACAGCTCGTATATCATTGCTTCGCCACGGGAAAACCCCCACTCGTTCTCTCCAGCCAGCTAACAAGAATTGGGATATGCAAATCAATCGAACATAGGCAATACGTTTGGCTAACTTAGTGAGTGAAAATTGCCATTTTGCTAATTGAGATATTTACATACATAAAATTCATACCTGAATAAGTATCGAAATTCGTCGGCTTATATTCAGCCGGATATCTTCCAGTAGTGTAGCTCACGATTAAATTAGTTTTCCCGACGAGCGTGTCGCCGACGAGGACACATTTTAGGCTCCGCACCCCTTGATCGTCCATCTAAAAGTCTTTGATTTAAGTAGAAAATCTTGTATTCCAAAGGACTCAAAAATTCTGGGAGCTTGGCTGGCAATAAGAGCGGGTGGAGGCGAGGACGATAATTTCTGAGGGGGCCCTAATAATAGGGAGGTTGGAGATAGAGAGAGCGAGAGGAGCGAGAGAGAGAGATAGAGAGCGATAGATAGCTAGAGAGAGAGAGAGGGATAGAGAGCAAGGAGCATAAATATATCGGGTGGCGGCAATAGAAGGCGGGTGGAGGCCAGAAATGGGCAGATGGCCGGGGGGTGTGGATTGATGAGGGAAGTGCCGTTGCTGCTGGGCCCTTCAGCGCCTCTTTATGCAGGACGGTGGCAATATTTTGCGATATCTAGGACTTACATGGGCCTTTAAAACGTAGACTACACTGCCGGCATGACACATAAGTGACTCCGCTGTTAGCGGAACCACAGCTGTGTGTGGCCGTTTTGCGGTGGCACAGCTGTGTAGCTAGGAAAATTTAGCGGTGGCACAGCTCGCGTTCACTCACAGCTGTGCCTCCGTTACCGCCGCCACAGTGCGGTGTCACAGCTGTGTCGGGCCTCCCGGAGCGGAATCACAGCTGTGGCCCGGGACTTAGCCATTTTTTTGGGTCAAAAAATACAATTTTCGTAAAATATATGTTTTATATGTCGGAAGTCTTCTCGTGACTGCTTTCGACTCCTATTACTTCGGGTTTTTGATTTAACACTAATTTTGGCCGACAAGGAGACGGTCCCAACCGGACATAAAACTGCGATTTGAGATTGGCACACTTATAGAGCTTGAAGAACTGAACCCGGCAAACTAATTTTTATTAGCATGGAGTGTATATGAACCAATTTATAAGCCTTTGAATTTTTCGCTAGACCTTCATAGGCTTCCTCCGCTCCCCGACCGATGTGTCATCGTGGTCTAGTGGATAAGGAGTTAGGCGAAGGGTCGGGCAAAGTAACGAAGGTTCGGATCCGCCCAGGATTTTATTTTTTGCTTTTTGGACCAGAGCTACTATTTAGCATCATAAGGCCCTAGAATAAACCATTTCACCTCCAGGAACGCCCCCAAAACAATAAGTGGCGCGGGGGCACAACGGTGGCACAGCTGTGGGGGATACACAGCTGTAGCACAGCTGCGGCACAGTTCAATAATCTACAGGTGCCACAACTGTTGTTCCGAGTGGTGTCACCTATGTGTCATGCCGGCAGAGTATAACTTAAAGGACCTATGAAGGCTCAGAGTTAAAGATCTTTTACCAAAAATCCGAAATTATAGTTTTTAGAAAATTTTAGAAAGCAGATCCCACAGTAGCAAGTTAGCGGTGTTGAGACGGCAAAGCTAGTTGGATCGCAATAGTTTTTCGGAGCAATTTATAAAAGACACTTTTCATACCTGTTTAAGCGATTTTCGAAGACCATCGAGGACTTTAAAAACTTTTCGAGGATTTTAAAAAGAGTTGGCAGTTTTTTATAAAAAACTTTAATCCGGTTAGCACAATCACTTAAAAAGCGTTATTATCTGCTGCCATAAGTACATAATTCCATTTGACATTTAGCAACATCTCAACCCAGCCCAAAAACCTGGCAAATTGCCAAGAAACAATCACCAACTAGTGAAAGTGAGAGAAAAAGAATGGAGGCGATGGAATAGAGTGACGGGAATGGGTTCCGAATAGCCTGAGGGTATCGAATGAGAGAATGACTGTTAGAGAGACAGACAGACAAGGAACAGGCAGTCAGACAGGTGGCAGTCATCTGGGAAGGAGGGTGGAAATCCAGGGCATTTCGTTGTAGAGAACAGCAGAGATGGTGGATGGGTGGAAAAAGACAAGGACACCCCCATCCGCTACCTCTTTCCATTTCTTTTCGATTCCGCAACGGCCTTTGTCCGCCCGGGGGGTGGTTGATGCGCTAATGAAATTTCGAGTTCGGCTACTTTTTTTGGAGGTCGAAGATTTGGGGGTTGTCGGGGTATTAGGTAACGATTGTGGAACTTTTTTATCGTAATTTTTATTATTAATCAATAAGTTTTATGCGCTAAACGCAGAGGAATATTTCAATATAGATGAACGCTTGGTATATGCTAGAGGAGCGGAGCTAGAAAGTAAGAATTTGGTCCGAGCAATTTTACAGCATCGTTGATTTCTAAAGCATTATCAAGTTTTCTAATTTTATTGATCAAATTAACTTTGGTTTCATTCAATTTCAACGTAAAAAAACATTTTTCGAACTACGGCGCATTAATGAGCACTTCCGACGGCTGAAAAATCAATTCTGAATGTCATATCTGGATTTTGTCACTTTTGTTCGGCCTACTAATTAAAAAATGAGCTTTAAAAATATTATACCCATAAATTGACATAAGAAACGGAATCAAGGTATACTTGGGCGGGTGATTGGGGGGAAGAGCGAGAAATAGGGGTGAGAGACCGGGTTTTCTATTCAGAACCAGTCGCTGTTGAAGGGTGGGGGTAGGAGGAGGTAGCCGATCTTTGACAGGGTGTTGTCATAAATCTGGGTTGGGCCACAAACAGGCAAACAGACAAGCGGACAGTAAGAGACGTCGTCATTCACGGGGTAGTCGTAGAATAATAATAATATTAATATATAGTTTATCGAGCGTTCAAAATTTAGTCATGAAATTTTATGAGAATTCGCCCAGTCCTTTAAATTAAATAAAGCCTATTCGCAGGCAATCTAGCAACCATCATTGCGGAAAACCTAAATTTCCTTTCAAAATAACCAAAGCCAATGGGAACCCAGTAAATCCGGGCCCTATTTGCTAACGGTTCGCGAAGAGCTGTCACACAAAACGACCCTCCTTTTTCTGGTTTGCCGCAAATACGTGGAAACGCTTTGCAAATAGTTCGTAGAAAAAGTTACAGTTGCCCGTTTGGCATCAGAAAGCGTTTTCTATTGCTTGGGACGATTTCGCATTCAAAAAGTACATCTTGAGATCGGTGCGGTTGTAAAGAGACACGAAAAACTTAGCGGAAATTTGATTTAAATTTATTTATATTAAAGGAACCAATGTTTTTGAGCTAATATGTATTTAACCGTATTAGTCTTCAAAATCAGCCACAAAAATAAAGCAAAACCGCGAACTGCCTCCCAGCCACTTAAAAATTACTTTGCCACCATCTGGGCCATCTGTGCGCGAGAATAAACTGTGAGTGTTTGGGGGTGTGTGACTTTCTTGTGGCTTCTTCCGTAGCCCGCAGGGGGTGGTGGCCACTTTTTCTCGGATTTGGCCCATTTTCTCCACCCACCAGCCAAAACCAATCGGATTCTTCGGCGCCCGCTCTTCTCTCAGAATGGCGTTAGGGTTGAGCAAATAAGGGGGGGGGGGTGCTTTTGTGCTTAGGTGATCGGAGTCTAGAGGCGATATTTAGAAAGTTATATTTGGTAGGAGTTGAGTCAAAGCGTAGTGGTCGTGTTGCGTCGTTTTTAATATACATTTAAACCGTTTATAAATCGAGATATGTGAGTTTAAAGCTACTGAATTTTTGGGAATTGTGTACATTTAAGGGTTCTACTACGTTGATCTTGTATTTCTGCTTTGAAAGCTTGTAGCAAATTTTAAAAACAGAGAGGTAGTAGACCTAAGTCCAAGCCTAAGCCCAAGCCTAAGCCTAAACCTAAGCCTATGCCTATTAGGCCTAAGCGTATGCCTATGCCTAACCCTAAGTCCAAGCCTAACAAGGAGACGTTTTTGAGTGGCGTCGGGACTTTGGCACGGGACCAAGCCTATCTTGTGCAGAATTTTACGCTGATTCCGAATATGTTAACGGTTTTTGCGGAATAGCTAGTTCTCGAAAGTTATGAACGATTTAAACCTCAAAACAGCCCAAAATCGGCTACTTTCAATAGTCATAAAAGGCTTCGGAATAGGTTTTAGACAAAAGTTGATAGTGCATCTTGTTCAGAAAAAAAATTTATAAAATAAGCTACTTAACTCAAAAATGCTGGAATTTTGAAAATTTTTGTAAAATTATGGACCACCCAATTTATCGAATTTTTCCAACTTTTCAATGATTCTAGAAAAGATGGTAAATTTTATAGAGAATTTTTTCTGAACAAGATGTACTATCTGGTTTTGTCTAAAACCTGTTTTGAAGCCTTTTATGACTATCAAAAGTAGCCGATTTTGGGCTGTTTTGAGGTTTAAATCTTTCATAACTTTCGAGAAATGGCTATTCCGCAAAAACGGTTACCATATTCCGAATCAGCGCAAAATTCTGCACAAGATAGGCTGGGCCCCATGCCAAAGTCCCGACGACACTCAAAAACGTCTCCTTGTAAGCCTAAGCCTAACCCGAAGCCTAAGCTTAAGCCTAAAGCTAAGCATACGCCTAGGTCTAAGCCTACGCAGTTAAAAATTATTAATTTCGATTCCCCAGCCCGACTCCGAATTTTGATTAAACTCCCCGTTAAGAGGATCATCACCCAGACTAGACAGAGATTAAAAAATTCGTGGAGACCACGTTAACACTTGACTGATCTATGGCGTTGATTTGATTCCAGCGCTCGCTGGGCGGTGGAAAGAGGGGTTTGTGAGTATTTTTCGTCTGCGGGTTTTGTGGGCGCGTGTCCCGTTTGGAGGCGTCGACTGGAACCAAAACCCCGTGGTGGTGGGAAAGGTCGAGCCTTTCTCTTTTCCGATTTTCAGCAGTCACAATGCGAAAATGGGTAGAGTGAAGTGAAATGGATGAAAAATGGATTGTCTGGTAGATTTTCGAGTTATATTATATAGTTAGGCAAATGCTTGTCTTTCGAGAAAATTCCAAAGTTGCAAAGCATCGGCTCAAAATCTAGCCGTAAGTTGCAACGTATCGTAACAGCTTTGACATTTTATGTAAGGCTGCTTTATTTAGAAACTTCATCTTACTAGTTAGATAGGTAAAATCGGAAGTTTTAAAGAGTGAAAAGTAAAAAATAGGCCGAGGATAGCGCGCACAAAATCGGGTGTAAGTTGTAACGTAACGTAGCGGCTATTACAAATCAAGAAATTCTTCTTCATTTAAAAACCGTATTTTATTGTTTAACTATAAAAAATCACCACTTTTGAAAGGATTAGCAGGAAAATGGGCTCAAGAGCTCGCGCACAAAATCCTAGAGTGTAGCTTGCGGTAGCATAGCGACAACTAAACCCTGGCGTAGTCAAAGGCACAAATTTACAATTTAATATATATTTTCCATTATATCGATTAATAAAGGTGTTAAAGATCCCCAAAGAAGGCTATCCACAAAGGGGGTTCTTGCGGTGGGTTGAGTGGTTGAGGCGTACTCTCCACCCGGTGTATGGCGGAATGATAAGGGGAGGGGGCGATGAGAGACAATCATCGCTCTGTCATTTCTAAAGGGGAAAGGAAGACAAAATGGGGGAGGAGGAGGCGGAGGAGGCGGAGGTGCAGGAGTGGAGGAAGACTGGGGAAGGCGGAGGAGGATCAATTTTGACTCGAACAGGCTAGAGAAATCTGTGAACAAGGCAGACTGGAGGGTTCTGTCACGGTCCCTTTAAAAAACTTACTAATGGAAAATATAAGCAAGCTAGTAGAGATTCTTGGAGGAAATGAATTAGAGAGAGAGAGAGCGAGAGAGAGAGAGAGACGGAGAGAAACAAATTAGCAGTGATGCTTAGGGGAAATGCGTTAGAGATGAGGAAGCTATCAGAGATTCTTGGAGAAAATGAACTAGAGTGAGAGACAAGCTAGCAGGGTTTCTTTGGGAGATGTGATCCTAACTAAAGAGCGCTAAAAATTTAGTTAAGCTCGCAAACGTGATTTTAGTTTTTTTACAAAATCGATTTAGACTGAAAGTCGTAATTCGTAAACTCCACACCACCCGCGAACTTCATAACCAAAAACCCTTTAGTGTGTCAATAGGGTGATTGTTCATCGGCCCCGTTTTGGCCGGGGGGAATGTGTGCCCGATTTTTCGAGGTCATCATCACCCATCCACTCTTCTTCCTTCTTCCTCTTCTTCTTCTACACCCACCCGTCCGTTATATACCCACCCAGCCACCCAATCCACACTTCTTTTTGGCCTCCTTTCGCACGCCGCCCCACCCGATTTATCAATATATTTCGGTGGGAAATCGCTGAGGTTTTTGGTGGGAAAAAGTTGTGCGGAAAAATTTGTGATTAGAAGACGAGGGATTCGTGAAAATCAGCAACTAGGAAATCGTAATCTGGAATTTTTAAAATATCAAATTTTCAGAACACTGAATTTTCCAAATTTGGAATCGACATAAATTGAGCATTTCAAAGGTTTTTGTTAAGGAATAACAAATCAATTTTTAGTATCTCGAATTTTTAATTTTACAAATTTCGACAGTTTCCAAAGTTTAAAAAACAACAATAAATGAATCTTTGGTAGCTTCAATTATTAGAACTGCGATTTTTAAAATTTTGAATTTATGGATTTGGCATTTTGCAAAAGAAAATTAACCGTGTAAAATTAACCTATGAAAAGTCAATCACAAAATGCCCCCGAAGGTATCAAAAAAAATACAAAAACCGGCAGCCCTACAAAAATTCGAATAACGAGCGGAGTCTTTAAGTCTTTAAGACATATCCCAAAACCAACCAAGTAAAAGCAAAAACCAGCTCGTCTTTTGCCAATGGCGACACAGCTACACTTTTTTGCTTGCCCGCGCTGCTGTCTGCGCACAGAACCAGATGCCATAAGTCGGACCTCCCCACAGCAGTTCCGTCGACGTAATTCCTAAATTGTGGGGCATGCCCAAGATCCCACACACAGATCTTTCTATCCCCAAAACTTTTAAAGGGACCGGCAAGGCAAATCCATAGACTTCTTTCACCTCTCAAAACTGTCAAATTCAGATGCGGCCGCGCTGCCCTGTTGTCGGGATCGTTTTGGAGAGCAGGCGTGTCAGAGCTTGAGGTATATGATAGTGGATAGAATAGAACTGTTCCCTTTTAGAAAGTCTCAACCAGCCACTTTTGAAAAGCGGTGTCTGCAGGATCACGATTTCCACACGATTGACTGTTGCTTGGAGTGCCGACGTTATATTGAAAACAGTAAATTTTGCAGCTTGTAGTTTTACACTGTTATTTTTATTTCAAGGTATACGTTGTATAAGTTTTAAAAATTGAAATGACAATAGTTCAAACCGTTTTTAGACAACATCCACCCGGATAATGCGCGTGCCGTTCAGCGAGCTCCGGTCGTTTGTCGGGATAAGGTACTTTTTAAAGTTAAATCTAGCACTGAAAGATGATAAATTTATATATTACATAAATACATTTACATAATTCATATATATCAAATTATAACACATCACTTAACAAATTTTTATAGCATTCCATCAGCTTCTGCCGTCGTTTCAAGGAATCCGGCCTGGGAAAATACTCGTGTAAAGATACGGAATTCGCCATTCGGTAGGGAATAAGCATCTATTACTGCCGAAATTAAAGTATTTAATTAACTCCGCATTCATTATATTTTTAGGGTCTGCCGCTCATCCTGCGGCTACTGTAATGACGATCTCTATTCGGCCGCCCACAGCGTACCCAGCTGCACGATGATGAACGCGTCGATGCGGAGGAAGCTTTGGATTTTCTAAGAAACGCTGATCTCTGTTCCCATTTCTAAATCATGCTCGAAATTATCATTGCTCTGCTCGGTTTTTTATGTATTTCCCGAATCTGTGATGCGTCTTTCCTGGTTCCCCTGGGGGTGTTTGCCGTACATAATATTTATGTGACGAATCTCGATTGGATGCTTTGAATAAAAACTTAAGAAGGTATAATTTTGAAAGCGATTTTGTACTGAAAGTGGATTTTTCTAATGCTATAGATAAGATTTTGTATGTGATATATGTTGCTATATATCATTACTGTGCTCGGGGCGCGAATTCGGATAGTTCTAGTGTATAAGACGAAGCCTAGGTGAAGCCTAAGCTAAAACCCGAGTGAAACTTAAGCTTAAAGGGATACCGATGTCATCGGTCGATCACCCCCTGATCGACTTTTGGCACGTCCCAACAGCGCAGAGAACATGCCCGGGGGCGAGACGCAGAGACCTTTTCTTTCCCTCGAGTCACAGATTACTTGTGCCGTCGTTATACCGGCTCTATACCGGTAACGGGGTCCTTAAAAAAATAAGGGTCCTTAAAAAAAATAAGGGTCCTTAATAAAAATAAGGGTCCTTAAAAAAATAAGGGTCCTTAGAATTTCAGCTTAACGACCCCTGTCCCGACAGGGGTCCTTAAAATAGATGCTATTTTTAAGGACCCCGATTCCAGCAACTCCCGTAAATACAGTATTTTCACCGATTTCGCACAGATTGTGCCTCGTTTAGCCATTTACATTACGCGGCTTTCTTACACACAGTTTGTGCCTAAAAATAAGGCTTCGTGCCACCCCGGGGCCTAGTCGCTTCGGATGGGCGCGAGCTCGTACAGGGTTTCGAAATCGGGGCGCCCGAGGCGCGCGCAACGGCCAGGCGCTCCGATTTCGAAAGAGTGGAGCGGCAGCCCATCCGAAGCGACGGCCCGCCTTGCCTGACACGCCATAAGCCTCAAATCGTGCTCATCCCCACAGAAACTTCCACGCAATCTGACGTGCTAGGTTTTTTAGCCAGGGTCAATAACGGCCTCCTGGCAGCTGAACCCGAAAAACAAACGTTAACCAAAGCTTAAGAATAAGGCCCCGTTTTTGCAAATTTCGAAAACAAATTTTGAATGGGTGTTTCCACCCTAAATCCGTTAATGCGTAGCGTCCCCGATCCCTTGGGATGCATTGAGACGTGCGGTTGGTTCCCAGACATCACCATGGCGACCCGAGAAATGGTGGACCTCAAACCGAGCAGCCGACGAATGCAAGCAGACCCTAATTACCCCCCGGCATACTAGCCCCCCAATACCAACCAACGCAATATTCCCCTCATTTCCGTTCTAATTTGGATAAAACTTCTTAGATACGCATTAAAGATACGAAATATAGCTTAATGCGTGACTTTCAAGGCCACCGAGCGTTCGGATGGATGACGATGAGGTGGAAAAAACGCTAGATGCAACGCGGCTCCTTTTAAATGCATTGGAACATGTGAGTGGCAATTTTTCTAAAAATGGTGTTAGAATTTACTTCCCGAAACACAAAGTACAAAAAATTTTCTGTAGCAGCTTTGTATTTTATACTTATTGTAGTCTTTTCCGGGTTGAAGCCTCCCATGATTTTGAAAACAGATTTTCGAAACATGGCTTTTGAAACTGTAATTTCCGATGTTTAAAACGTGTCTCATATATGTTGCTGAAAGAAATCTTTCTTTTCAAGGATCCAACCCTACTCGACGATCATTATTTTATGCAAAAATTATCATACCTACGTGATCAGCACCGCCAAACAATTCGATACCTGAGCAGAGTCCGGGTAAGGCTCAATTTTTAAGAAATTACTGTCCCTTTAGCGATGTCTAACCGACCCGAAACCAAGTACTTCATACGTCTTCGATGAACAAGCGTATTTGGCTGATCGTGAAAGTCAGTTTTAAAACCTTTTTGTAATAAGAGCGTCTTTTAGAATTGAGAACGCTTGGAGGGTCTTCAGAATCGTTAAACGAAGAATATTTACGCGAATTCTCGGCTCAAGACGGGTATGAGGCGGTGGAAGAGGAGGTAAAATCTTAAACCCCGCCCAAACATTATTTTAGGAGATTCCTGATTACTACCACAATCAACCAGCAGCAGCTTTTAAAAAACCAACTACGGAATCGAATGAAGAAACTAGGAATCGACGGCGTAATGACGGAATTTGTACGTGTTGAACTGTCGTTTTTATGCCTTTTAAGCCACCACATCATCTCTATATTCTCAACAACGACTCGGAGAATATTCGAAGAATTATTTGGAAGTTAGGGTAAGGAACGACCCAGATATAAATTGTATACCGTTATACAATTTATTCTAGGGATCATTCTTTAAGGGTCGCGCCAAAAGCCTTCACGATCTTCGCACCAGGGCTGAACGACCGAAGTGGACACCCAACGTTACGATACTAAGACCATTTTCGATGACGGAAAGGTAGAAAAATATTTTTAAAGGCATTAAAATCCCAATTGCAGAGCGCCTAGAGAAAATAGCTATTCGAAAAAGTTCCTGCAACAAATGCAAGAGGAGAGGGAACAAAAAGCCCGGGAAGAAGAGGAAAAACTTAAAAGGATTCCAAAGTAAGCGATAAATTATCTTTTAATGATTTCTGTTTTCATAGATTCAAAGCCCGAAAACCACCAACTACTACTTATGTTCCAGACAATTTTCGGGTTTTTGATGAGAAATACATCGAGGTAAATAATTTGAATGTTAAGCCTGCTTATTACGACTTAATTAAGGCAATCTCAACTAAAAATTTAGGCTATAAGAAAGAAAGTGAATGCAAATCTTCGGGCTCGACAGCTGGGTGGAGGTGGATGGTATAAATCGGCGAATGACATAAGTGAAGGTGACCTTACATTAAGCAGTTTTAATAAAGCATAAAGTAAGGGTCATTGCATTCTATGTTATTTTAGAAAATCCAAAGCGCGCCAAGCCGGTTCCGCTTTCAACTTATATTGCTCCGGTGCCGATAGCTGAGGTTCGGAGGGAACAGCAAGCCCATAAAAGGGCGCTTGGACTTTTGGAGCAAGCCGCCTCTCCCAATGGAATTAGGGTACGGTATTGAACTTATTAAAGCAGTTTAAATCTTTTTTAGTACACTTATCTTAAATTTCTTCTAGGAACACGAAACTCTAACACACATTCGTGGCAAAATGCGGCATCACGATTGTCAGGAACAACAGTTTGGCAGGTTGGAAAATCAGCAGTTTCCCCTTCAACTACTTAATAACCTTATAATTAATAGCATCCTTTAACGAATTTATTTTAGAATCGTCCGCTCGCGATCTGTGCCCGATTTCCGAACCATCCACTCCAAACTACGTGAACAACTCGAAACGGCTCGCAGAAAGCCCAATACAGTCCCTAAACCCTTTCATTTGTCTGAAGGGAAGAAGAATCGGCATAATGCGGTGTGTTACTATATTTGAATCAATTAATGAAAGGGGAAAATGTTATTTTTAGTGCTCTTCTCGGTCTCCACCTCCAGTTTTAACTCCACAACCAATCCCACAGTACGGACAACCACCTCTGATCCGTCCGACCAAAGCTGAAAAATTAAGAAAAACAGCTGTGCGGTGGGAAAGCTAGAGATCGGCTTTAAATTCCATATTTTAGACAGAGAATGCATGAACAATATCGCCACGAAAATGAATCCCGCGACTTTTGGGAATCACGCCGGGAAGCAATGGAGGAAAACAGAAGGTAATTTTTACACTTCCCTTTTCTTCTAACTAGAATTTTTTTCTGAACTCAATCTCAAATTTCCAAAACTTACTAAAGATATCCTCGTTACCGTATTCCAGACGTCTGGCTGCTACCCTTGGAGAACGGGGACCCACTTTTGATATTGATGAAAGAACGGCGGAACGAAGAAGGGGTCAAATGGAAACGGCCAAGGAGTACGAGAGGCAACTTGACGGTACACATCGATTTTCAAAAATTTAGCTCATAAACTCTAGAAATGCGCTCCCGGATCATGGCCCGGCCACTGATCATTGAGCAGCAAGAAGCCCTAATACAGAAGCAGACCATGGAACGGAAATTCGGGCAGCGAATTGCCGATTTTAATAAGCAACAGAAGACCAAGGCTCGTGCTCAGTCGGCTGGTCCTAGAGAGGTTACAGTAAGTTCTAAACTTTGTTTTAATATATCCATGGTTTTAGCTGAAATCAGACTCTCGTCGAGACTCCAACGAAACCTACCTCATCGACAACGAGGTGCGTATTCAAATCCAGATTTGAAACACGTTTTAGAACGGAGAACCAAAAGCTGATAGCGGCACGTCTTCGAAAACTACAAGCTCATCCTCATCCTCATCGTCATCGGGTTCATCGAGTTCGTCGCCTTCAGGATCGGGCTCAAAATCCGGCTCGAAGCCAAAGGAGGACGGCTCGCTCCAATCTGCCAGTTCCAGTTCTAGTCTCAGCAACCCGTCACTGCCGGAATAATTTTTCGAGGCTAAGAGAGCAGGAGATGCTAAGCATAAGCCAAAGTATAAACCTAGACGCCAATTTATATGTTAATATTATCTTATGAATAAATATATGGACAAAAAAAGGCGCAGGACTTGATTTCCTGCCAAATTTGCATTGAAATATTTAGGAGCGACGAATTATTACTTTAGCGATTCTTGTGATTCCATCAATCTTCTAAGTCAATTCTCCCTTCCCAGTCCCTTTAAAAGACCCCGTCTACCTTCAAAAAATCCGCTCAGTACGGTATGACCGCTTCGCCAGCAGGTGGTTGCCGACCGGTTGGTGGTGGCTGCCGCGGGGCGGAGAAGCTGGAGGACAGTCCGCCACTTCTACCCTCCCGGTTTTTTCGGCTTTTGCCCTTTATTCCTCCACCCTCGATTCATCGCCTCGCCTTTTTTCCATCAGGGGTCTCATTCCAGAACGGGTATGTAGATACATATAGATGGAGAAAGAGAGAAAGAGCGAGCGAGAGAGTGAAATATACCGACAAACGGCTACATCGACAGCTACAAGGAGTGCCATAGGGCTTCTTCTGCCATTACGATTTACTTGTCCAGAAGTGAGAAGGAGAACGTTGATGGGAGAGCGAGAGAGAGAGAAAGAGAGAGCGAGAGAGAGAGAAAGAGTGCGAGCGAGAACGAGAGAGAGAGAGAGAGAGAGAGAGAGAGAGCGAGAAAGAAAGAGTGAGAGAGCGAGTGAAGGACCTCAAGCTGTCTTAAACAGGCCATACCATGAAATGTCATACGATTAGAATAAAAAATGGTTGACTTTTTGAAGTATCTCGAAAGCTAAAAAGGAACATTCTGGAAATGAACAATCAAGAAAGTAGAGAAAAGTATTTCGCGGGTTAACAGGTACCATAGGCTACCTCCGCCATCACGACTTTCTAAATTCAGATTGCAACATTCCACTCCACGCCCCCACCTCTCCTTTAGTGTGCTGACACCAACAACATCTCGAATCCCGTTTCCAACTCAATCTACCCCCTCCCCACCGGCTGGCTTCTTGCCAATGGCAGCCAGAAAAATGGCGTGTGCCATCTATGCCATCGTGCCCTCAGGGGGCTGGCAACTGGTTCTTTCCCTCCAGATGGCACCTATAGACGCTAGACGGAAGGAGAGACAGAGAGAGAAAGAGACAGTTGTAAGGGGGGAATGGTTGAGAAGAAGGGGAAGAGAAGAAGCAGCCGGTTCCGAACCTGCCAACGGGACCGGCCCGCCCCGGTCCCCCCCTCTCTCTCTCTCTCTTGGACCGGTCTTCGGAAGAAGCCGGGGGGCTCTCTTGTGGGCTCTTCGTTTTTTCGGCTTCTTCTTGTTCTGCTTCTTCTCGTTTTGGTGCTTCTATAGCCCGGGCTGCGGGCGATGATTCTTCATCAGCTTTTCACAGGCTTTTCGTCACTGTTTGGTGGTTGTATTTTTGGGCTTTCTCCGCGGCAGTTGCCAAAACTGTACGGTGAATTCTTTTTTATTCGTGTTCCAAGAGATTTCTTTATTTCTGTTATTGTTTTTATGGAATTCTCTAAAGAGTAAATGTTAATATCAGCATCTACTGTTTTAAAAGGTTTGGTAAAGCTAGAATTTCTGTAGATTTTGCGACGCGACGCGCAAATCCGGCTTTATATGGCGTAATTGTTTATGACCCTTTACATCCTTCAAGTGGGATCCGTATAGCGTTGCGTGTCGCGAGGTAGCAGGCAAAATCCGACAGGCAAAACTCACATCTTTCTTGCCTGTCCCTTTAAAGCATTTATTTAAGTTTAAAAATGTTTGCATGCCGTATTCAACGGATTTCCTGCAATTTTAAAAAGTACATTCATTTTAGGTTATAATTATGCCAAATTTCCGGATTTTGAAAAATTTCTAAAGATTTTATCGGTTTGATTTTCCGTTTCTGCAGTTTTGACGGAATTTCCGATTTGCGCTCACGTTCAAGGGCTCGTAGCCCTAAGTTAACCACGACTATAAACTACAAAAACATTTCATTTTTTCCAAGAACACTTTGCATATTTGCGAGAGGTAGGTGATTGTGTTGGGCCACTTGGCGCCCCTGGGGCACTCGTTGTTTAGCGGGACGGTTAGAGCGGGAAGAGGGTAGCAAGACCGGACAGTCCGGTCCAGTCCATCTCTCTCTCTCTCTCTCTCTCTCTCTCTCTCCATCCAGGGTGCGCTTTTCCAGTCTCCCACGCACCCTTCGGGGGGGGGTAGAGCTAGTGGCTGCCCCGAAGCTGCCCCGAGTACACCACCGTCGCGCTCCCCTAAAACTTGATCTCACAGTCCTCCGTAGCTCCACCGATTCTAGTCATCTCCTCATGCTCCACAAGCGCATCAGCGGCATCATTTTTGGGTTGTTGCGCATTGTTTTGCAGGTCTTTGCTTTTTTTAGGTTTTTTGTGTGGTTGCACTCAAAACCTCTTGAGAACTGTTTATGTAAAATTTGAATTTCAGAGTGCAGGATTACCGTAAATATTTTTTACAACTTTGAGTTATCCAAACGTCTCAAAATTTTTACTCGAAGCCTTTTTCTGTATTTTGGTACTATTTCTTGCAGATTCAGTTGTATCTCAAAGTCTGGTTGATTTTTACTGTTTAGTTTTTAGTACTATATTAATGCTTTGATCTGTACAAAATTTATCTATACAAACGCCCAAACCTTCAACACCCCTTTAACGAACTTTTTGCTCAACATTTCGCGCTGGCATTGACCGCTTGCCGGTGCCCGATCTGCCCTTCCGTAATTGGAATCGGCTAATCCGTGGCGGTTTTTTGGAGCGTCAGGTTCCCCCTCCTCCCCTCCTCCTCCTCCCGCCCCCTCTTCATCTACCGTTATTTGTGTGTGTGGGTGGCAATGCCCCATTTGCAACCCGTAAGCCGCTTTTTCCGCACCCCCGTCCCCTGCCCGGACCAAATTTCGATGTTCCGGCCATGCTCTGCTCTGGCTGATGCTCCTTTTGCCACTAAGGCACCCTCCCACAACGGGCCGGTCCGTCAACAGGTTCGGTTCGGAATCCAGCACCCATGCCGCGCCACGGCACACCGCGTTTTGCCCTGCTTATTATGGAAAGGGGGGATGGCAAAATCGGAGGAGAAAATCGGAATCGGGGGTTGGTCGGTGGAAATGATAATAATCACTATGCAGATTTTTAGGTTTTTAAAGGGGCAGGAAAGGCAGAATTTTATGGATTTTTCTGATAGTCCACTGGTTTTTACTTGACTTTTGAAGACTGGCTGACTTTTAAAGATATTTAAAAGCCATATTTCCCTATAGTTAGGTAGATTACCTTGAGTGTAGTCTCACCAACTCGGCGAGCCGTTTTTAAAGGCCTATTGAGGCCCAATTTCTAGGAATTCCCGATTTTTGGAACTTAGGGAGGCTTATGGAGCTGAGTCGCACCCCTAGCTTTTTATTTAAAGCGGCGTTAGGCCCAATTTCTCTAGACATAGGTCGATGAACTTTAGTTTAGTATCTACAAGACCCAAACAATTTTTTAAAGCCCGCAGAAGCCTAATTTCTATGGGTTTTAGCGCTCCATTTCTAACACATTTTTTTAAAGATCAGGGACACTATAAGGGTACATTGCAAATTTCTCCAAATTTTGGTACCGGAACTTTGATATAGTTCCCACAGCTCCCCCCATCAATAGATTTCCAATCACTTTTGCCGTTGAAACTGTTGGCCAGGACCCCGAAAAGAGAGACCCCTCTTTCGATTATCCAAATAGAAAATTTCACCCGCGTAGCGGCCATTTCTATTTGGTGAGGCTAGCCTCTCCTCCCTTCGGAGATGAGCCATTCCAAGAAAAAAACGCAGCAAACCGGCCAAATATTAGCTTTAGCCGTGTTTCGGGTCAACGGCCTCAACATATGGTAGGGAAAGGACGGGGGAGGTTGGCAAATGGGGGGATTGGGCAGGGGAGTTAGTGCTTTCGAAATAGAATTTGGTTTTGAAAACTGAAATTTTGTCGCCCGGAAATATTTTTAAGTCTGAATTCTAACGGCAAAAGTATATTTATGCGAACTCATACCCAAAAAGGCCGCTTCTGCTCAAAAGCTAAGCCTAAGCCTAAGCTTCATCTAAGCCTAGCCCTGAGCTAAGCCCAAGCCTAAGCCTAATCTAAAACTAAGCCTAAAGCTAAGCGCAAGTCTAAGCGTAAATCAAAGTATAAAGCCTGCGCCTAATCCTAAATCTAAGTTTAACCTAAGCCTAAGCCTAAGTCTATGATAAACCTAAGCCCAGGCCGAAGCCTACTCAAAACCCAAAGTCCAAGTCTAACAAGCCTAAGCAGCAGTAAGCCTAAGCATACCTGATACGTCCGAATCTCAATATTCTAACACCGAATACCGAATAGGGAAACCGAATCTTAGAATGCCGACACGTAACGGAACAATGTCAATATTTTGGAATTTTTGAGTTGTAGCTGACGGGATATGGCTATCTGCGTTCCAGCTTGTGGCTATCTTCGAAGTCTCCGTTCCCTTGCGTTTCCTTTAATTCCCCTAACATCAATAATTTGGCTGACCCCTGATTATTCGCAGTCTATATCATAGTAGTGCGGGGTTGGTGTGCCGGTGTTGCCCAATTTGGCAGCGAAGGTCACGACCCGCGTTTGATTCCCGTCCCTTTTGCGGGTGTGTTGGCGGGCTCTCTTTTCTATTTCGTGTGGGCCGGAAAACCGGTCGTCGGCCCTTCGGGAGAGACCCAACACACCACCGAAATTCCCGCCGACACCGACCAACCGAGCGGCCACTCGCAAAATTCCAAATCCTGCTGACGACCCTCCCAATTTGTACGGTTGGCTAGGGATGACATTTTAGTTAGGTTTATGGTTTTGGGAACCTTAATCGAAAGCGTACGGTAATTTTTGTTGAAAATAACGAAAAATCACGGTTTTGAGCTGTCGTGAAATTTGCATCCGGAAAAATGATCCGTAGCGCCTGGTCTACCA